TATATATATNTTTTGTGCTGACAACAAAATGAGTTACATTCTTTTTTCTTTAAAATTTAAAATAAAAAATTCTTAAATTGAATTTAATTTAAACAATTGTAATTCTATTTTTGTATGAAAAATAAAAGTTATTTTATTACAACTTAAATATGAAAGTTATTTAATATTTTTAGATAAAAATATGAAAGTGTTTTTACTTCATCGTATAACCATCGTCAAACAGCTGACCCAATTTTGAGTTTACGACTACCAATGTTCAACCCCGTAGCTTTGTAATTTTGAACCCTATCCAGAAGACAAGCAAACTCTTGAACCAAGTATCTGTAAAAATTTGCTTTCGTGGAGGACTTTTTATGAAACTGACCAGCTTTTGCGCTTGAGGGAGATGAAACTCGTGACGGCAAGGGGACTCGAACCCGTGATATGTCTGCCTCTGAGGATATTTTTCGTTAGCACTGTTGTCTGTGCGAGCATGGAGCAGAATTTGAATCGACCAGCCAACATTGAGATCGAACCTATGTCACGTCATTGGTAGGCGAGCGCTCTATTCCCTCAGTCAACCCGACTCGGAAGCGTTTTTAAGCAAGGGAGGCCATATGTAGTTCAAAATTTATTTACTTTAATGCAATTTTTTTAAAAATTATATTATATTCATTAATTCATGTGTTCCTTTTTGTTGAAATTTTGGATTATATCCAAAAAGGTGTCATTACTTTTTTAAAACATAGTTGTACAATTTTGAGTCTTTGCTTAGAGATTATTTTATTGAAGTTGAACAATTTTTCAAGAATCAATATGTCGGCCAAGAGAGTCATTGGGTTAAAGTTGCTCAATTTAGAGACTAATGGCAATGTGGTTAGAATTATGTAATGAGATTTACTGGGACGTTTGTACCTATATGTTTTAAACAGAGACGTTTTATGAATAACCATGTTTATTAGCAGACCCACCCACTTATATATATACACACAAATTAGCACACAGATATTTAAGCTTATATAGTCAATAATTGCAAAAACGTTTGGTAAGTAATACTTTCTTTAAACAATGATTCATTTTAGAAGAATTAGCACATATTTTGATTATAACACTGCACTTTCCAATTAAAATTACTAATCTTAAAAAACCAATGCAAAATACTCGATTTATAGTTAAATTCTTACGTTTTTTTAAAAATCATTTTAAAGACATTTAATTATTTTCAATTTTAATGACACTAAATTTAAAAATTTGTAAATACTGCTGATTTAAAATTTTTTTTACTCCAATATATATATGAACATATACATATTTAACATTAATTTAGATATTAGGATTGGAGGTGGGATTAAAGAATTAGAATATTTAAATATAGGCGTGATGTGCATTCGGCTTTATTATCAGAACAGTTTATATATTTTACAAGATAATTTTGAAAGCTATTTAATTTTGTCACCAATAGCGGCTTGTTTGTTTACATTTCAGATCAATATCACGTTGAAGTTATCTTAAGTATTTGGGTAGCAAAATGTCACTAAATATATAATTTAAAATCATATTAAGTACTAAATAGCAATATAAAATGCCACATGAAAACAACAGACCCCCCCAATCCCTTTACACCTTTTTAAATATTAAAACGCAGTTGCGAAACTCATCTAGAGCGATAACACTACATATGATAGCAATATTGTTTAAACACCTTCTCGGAATCGATAAGTTTTATGTAGCCGAGCGAGCACGAGGCACAAATGAATTATTCATGCACAAGAAAGCAGAACAGTTAAGTTTTCGATCACCAGTACTTCCTGTATAGAAACGATCGAAAGAGGGAATTTCGAGAAGATCCAAAGTTTGCAATATTTATGGCTTAAACTTATGTTATTCAACACTTGAATTCCTTTTGCGTTTTGTTGTATTTGATACCTGGATCAGAAGAAATAAGACTTGGCGTCTGTACAATACTTTCTAAAAGTATTTTATGCTTTTTGAACGCTGAAAGGATTTGGAAAACGTGAGATTTCTGTTAAAACGAGAGCTTCTCACAATGGAAAATAAAAAAGGATTTAATTTTTAACTTAAACAATGCTTTTTCCTCGATTGTGTTTACGTTTGAAATTCGAGAGTTTGGAAAATTGGATATAGAATTCTTTTGGAATTGTAGAATCAGCTGTTAGTATTAATATTTGAAAAAGATGGTGTTTGTTCTTTAGCGCCAAGGGAATACATTCTTCGGGGATATATTTTGAAAATATATTTTACTTTGTAAAAATATGCTGAGATTATTTAAATGTTATTACGTTTCTTTTTTCTAGACTGTTGAATGAAAATATGTTTCATTAAAATCTCTTCATACTTATTTAATGAGTCATCTTCCTTTTAATATCACTCATTATTGTCATATGAATAATACTTTTCTAAAAAAAATGTTTAATGAAAACTATTATTGTTACTATATTTTAATATATTTCAAATTGAAAAAATAAATGTTACTACTTTTTATAGAAATATATGTAAACATATAAAACCTTTTGAAAATAACTCTTTTCAGCGGAATTATATATAGCATTCACTTTTTTTATTATTTTAAATTTAATTGAACTGAAAATGTTAGTATTTTAATTTTAAATTATTAAAAACTACACTTTTTAATTGCCGTGTTTTGAACTATTTTTTTAAATTACTTCTAGACTTTGCTATTGTATTTTGTAAATTTATTTTTCAAAATTTTTTAAAATTAGTTAAATGCGTATAATTTTAGTCATTTTTAATCTATTTACTTGGGGGTAATACTTACTATTTCAGGCGTTTTGTTAGAAAAAAAAATCTAAACTTCTTTGTATTTTGTCAATCCCATTCTCGCTTGCGTCAGCTACGGATGTGTTTTTGCTACTTTATGTGCTGTTTGTGTGCAGAGTATAAATAACCAATTGGAACATTTTCATCATGGGTAAAAAAGACGATCTAAAAAAGCTGTTAAGTAAAGGTCCTCGTGAATGCTAAAATATTTTCAAACCGCAAAATATAACTAAGACTGAAGGTGTCTGAATCTAGCATACGACGCACAAAGAAGAGAACGTACTAAGGGGACAAATTCAGCCCGAAACGAAAGAAAATATGCGGCGGAATCTTACAGTGCGTCTAATAATTTGGTCAGGGACTGTAGGTTAATTCGGCTATTTTGACATCAGAATAAAATAAATTAGAATGTAAGGAAGTTGAACTACTAACAAATTTTTTAGTTATTCCTGAAAAATCCTAAAATGCTGAATGCGGGTTAAGCAACTTCAAAAAATTATTATCCTCATTGTAGGATTTCTCAAAATATCGTAGGATTTATCTGTTTCAACGTTTAAAATAATACTTACTAAATCTATCTACTCTGTAAAATTTGTGAAGTAATATTTCTTCAAATTAGTGTTAAAACCACATCATAAATTGTAAAAATGAACTCGTCATCCCTAAATCGAGCGTTCATAGGCACGTAAGGGTGCTGTTAAAATTATTCACCATTAATGTAGAATGCTTAGATCAAGTTCACGCGCTCTTCCGAAAACACCAATTTTGGAATACGCTTGGATATAGTCAGTTAGCAACAGTAAAACGGAAAGATAATTATATTGTAATTATAAAAAAATCTGTCAATTACATTGAATAGTTTCAAGATATTTAAATTCGATAAGCTTCTGTTAAGCCTAGATCGAATCATTTTAATATTCTCTCATTCTCTCTGTGCTGTGAATGTGGGGTACTTTATTTCGCAGGACAACTCTCCTGGACCTTCACCTTAACCTTCTTAACTCCTATTGACCTTCGCATAGCCTCTATTAAATACTATTGAACTTTTTTGAAGGAATTAGAACGCATATCGACCATCCTCATACCTGGAAGTAGATTCCTATGGCGACCCTCTCTGGTTAAATTCTGGTGTCAGGTTTCACCGATCGCTGGCAGTCTATCATTGATGGAAAAGGACCAAAATGACAATATATATACCTCATTGGCCGTCTGAATACTTTTGGCCCGATATTGTATTTTTATTCTTTAAGAATGATAACTTTTAAGCTCTGCCACAGGCTTATCAACAAAATCCGTGATATAATTGGGTATAATATGAAAAAAACATAACTATTTCCACTTAGTAGGAATAACATTTACCATGTCGCAATGCTAAATTCTATGCCACTATCCACATAAATGCCACTATCCACATAAATGCCACTATCCACATAAATCAATTATTAATCAAAAATCGAATATCAATTACTTTTCTTTATAATGCAATAAAATCTGGCGAGCAGCTATTTAAGCGATCAAACACTTCGTTTGTTTATTTGTGGCTTGAAGTTAGGCTCACAGAAAATGCCGTTCAAGGGTTAAATTTAGTAGGAATAACACAACCTGTGACGTAGGCTATAGTATACCCAATTGTATTTTAAACATTTTTAATTCTATTTCTTTAATTATTCAGCCCATTAACCCTTTGACGCAGAATTTTTATTAAATACGTTTTTTATTCTTTTTTTGTATATTTTAAATTAAATTTTTTTTCTTTGTATTAAGGTCAAAAAAGGGAAAAAAAAATTATATGGCATTTAAATAACTAATGGTTATAAACCGGAGTTTTTTTGTTTTGCTCTATCGTTAAATTTTTTTCTTCCTAACGTGGCTAAACCGGTGTTTCTTTTCCATTAAAGGTAAAATTTTTCATACGTGGCTCACTTCTAAACAATAATTTTTCATATATATATATATATATAATATGGGGCATTGGTGTCCATTTTGCGTCAAAGGATTTTAAGTTCGTGACAGAATTAGATCATAAAATTATACTCAATAATGGAAGTTGATAAATTTTCCACTTTATTGAAAACGAAAAGAAATTAAAGTATGCTGGTATAGCTTTTTGACCTACGCGAATATGCAATGCAAATATGTAAATTAAAGCCTTTCATAGTGCTATTTTTTTTCTTTACGAGCAATCAATTGAAGCAATCGATAGTTGGTGAAAATAATTCAACTGATCCTTGTAACACTTTATTATACAGCTAAAACACTTTATTAGTACAACGACAAAGCTGTAAGCTCATTATCACGGAGAACATAATATTTAAACAATGAAGCACACTGTTTCACAGAAATTTTTTTATCAACAAAATTGCACTGATAATTATCATTATTTGAACAACATCCATATACATCAAACAAGTTCAAAAATTAAATTGAAAAAAATAAATGAATCGATTTCGATTCTAACAACAATAATAGACACACGTGCAAAGGAATAACCAATTATTGCTCAAAGAATAATGGGAAAAATTAAAAACATTAAATAAAACAATTGGGTGAAAATATTAGAAAAATGATTTCACTAACAAAGTTCTTTTACTTGAATTATTTTAAAGGTTTTTTTTAAAATAAAGTTAACACAAATTTTAAAGGTTATATTATTAGAATAAATTTTTTTCCATTTATCAATGAATTTTTTATTGTTTATCCATTAATATTTTTTATGTATCTATTATTTTTTTGGGAGATAGAACATTAAAGTGTTTAATACAGTTAAAACAATTTATACTCAGTATTGAAATACTATTAATTTTACAGAGGAAAAAAAATACAGAAAAATACTGGTGATACAGATAAATGCTGATATAAGTTTTTAATTATTACTCGAGCTGCAAAAAATTCTCAATTTTCTACAGACTTTCTCCGTACATTTGACAATTTAAAGCTGTTTTTCACCTTAATCATAAACTGATTGAAACTAAATTCAGATTATACTTTTTGCCTTGCAGTTTGGCATACCATGTGATAACTTTATCTTTTTGCAAATCATTTTAAATTTATTTTCTATATTTTCCCTTACTTTTAAGAAATTATTTTATGGTTTTAAATATGATATAAATAAAATTGTGATTCGACTTCATTGTCGAATTGATACTCTACAGAATTATTATTACTCATTAGATGTAATTTTTCGATAAGTTAAAATGTTGGACATTTTTATAAGGGTCTGTCAATATAGTTTTAGACGTTTTTGGACCTAAATAAAATTTTTATAAGTATGACTTTTAAGATAAAGACAGTTTAACATCTGTTTAAGTGTCAGAGGGCTTGAATGCCAATGAGGTTTAGCAGGTTCGAATCCATGCTTTGACTGGTTATGAGAGTTCTCTACTCTCTGCTCGAACCAACTGTAGTTATTTTGTATGGTTTTTAAGTTTGTATACGTTTATTTAAAAGAACAGTACTTATTTGCTTAAAAACAGGCTCCAATTTTTTAATAACAGTAGTTTTCTCTGAAGTAAACTGGCTCATCAGCTAATGATTTTTTCCCCGTAAATTTAACAGATTTTTTTATTACAGTGTACATGCCAATAGGTAACAATTCATAGAATGTTTCTATCAAAACGGTAACATTTCCAATTAAAGAAATTTTACTATTTATTAATAAACAATTATAATTTTAATATCTGAGTTGAGATTTGGTGTATTGAATTTGATTTAAAATTTGTTACGTTTCTGTAAAGTAGTCTTTTGTTTAAATAAATCTATTTTACTTCAAATGCAAACCAAATTTCATGATGACAAAATTTTCTATAGTTGGAATTATGTGCGTGTTATCATAGAGTAATTACCTTCTTGAAAACGGTATTCACCCTAAGTGAATAACAAATAAATAAGTGAAAAAAAGCAACCGGAAGCATTTCCAAAAAATAAAATTGACAGTCTTAAACGAAAAGACTTAGCTCAAACCTTACGATAGCCTTATTTTCGATACAGGAGATGCACTGATGCACATGCACTGATACGTTGTCTAATACCAAGTTAAAGATAGAACTCCACTTTAAAAATGATTTTAAAATTCTTTTTTCAAGCATGTTCTAAGTTAATTTAAGCTGGAAAAAAAGTACTTCTAAAAGATGATGCAATTAAATGTTAGCAATACATAACGAAACTGATTTTCCGAACTTTAGCTTAAAAGAATTATTGTAATATTCAAAAGAGAGATATGCATTCTTAAAAAAACTATCGAATTTAAATTACAGAAATTATTACACAACTTTTTACACTTCACAAAAAGTGTACCAAATACCCGGAAATCACGTGATTCGTATAGGCAATGCTCATCGAGACAATACGCATCGTGACTCTACTACCCAGCACTATATAACACGTTTATGCTTAAGAATACTAGTCATAAATTTCGCGAGTTAATAAACTTTGAGTAAATAATATTTTACAGAAGTAAACTGGCCTCATATATTCGAAGATCGAAAAGCATACCAGAATCTACCTCGAAATAAATTAAAGTACCGGTTACTAGGATCAACCACGTAATAAATTAAATTTCCACTGCGTACTACGTACTTGGATCAACCAAGCAATAAATTAAACTTTTTGATTTCCGGGTATTTGGATCTAGAAAATATTAGGTTACGTCTCTAATCACACGAACAAATATTTAGATGCAGCGAATTTAATAAAAATTTTACAACATTTAATGAAATAATACAATGACAATATATATATCAAGAATGTTCATAAACAATGAATATGTTTAAATACAGCATATATCTTCTGATTTATCAATTTATTTAAAAACTAAAATGTTTAATACAAGTGATCGATTTACATTTTTTTTTCTAATAATATTTATTTTTTAAAAACGATATTTAAGGAAATATAATTTCTTTTTAAAACTTAAACTGAAGTGATCTGAAGTGATTATGTCTAAAAATACAAAGTGTGCCACAAAAATTCGGTGAATGGGTGGATATTTTTAAAGCAACTGGAGTGAAAAACATGGCCACTTGTACATAAAGAGAAATATTTGATGAAAAAACTGATGCAAATAAGTTTGCAATAGAGAGTCGAACACCATGCGTGTGCAATTTTGCATCAAATTGAAATGAAAAAAAAAACGCATAAATACCACGTTTGGTGACAAATTCGGCAAATGGCTTTAGAAACTCGTGCAATGTTGGTCTATGAAAGATATGCTTCAAACAAAAAATGCGTTTACGCTGAATTGCAATTTTCCTCCGATGTAACAATAAACCATCGATGATGAACCACGTTTGATTCGACCATCAATATTTGTTCCGACTTGACGATATCAAATAAATGTGTTCGATGCTGTTGTAAGGTCACTGATGGGTATCAGAAAAATTGACACTGACTGATTTAAAACAGATTTAGTAAATGCAAGATCTATTCCAGTTTTGAGCTTTACACCTATGATTTGATCGAAATGGGCATTCATATATTCATTCTAACAGCTTAATCGACTACGCCAGAAGTGTATTATGACTAACTGATGTTACTTTAAAGAAGATGAATTCTGTTCGTTGTCAAAAGCAAAAACTACCACTTACGGTTGATCGTACTTCAAAAAAGGGTGATATGCTCATCTGTGCTCGGTTTGAAGTACTGTGAGTACGAGCAGTGTAGTGCTAAATAAAGAACCCACCATTTTTTATAACTTCCTTATTTTGATAATATCGAAACAGAACTGACGCATGCGCAAGTCCGAGGTAAGTTTTCAGATAGGAAAAAATATAAAATCAAGTACATATCAGTCTAACCAACGGGAGTTCTCTGGCCATAGAGAGTGAGGATGCCTGTTGCTAAAGAAACAAGACAAAGCACATAACAAAGCGGGAAGCTTTGGTACTTTTATCGAAGGCCCGAGTCAAAACTTGCTTCAAATGTCGTAAATTTATATCGTAACCATGGTCACTGACTGTGCTCTAGACGACTGGTGAGGGAAATTTTTTAGTTGAACCTATAATTTGTTAGAATTTTTTGCAGTATTTTTTTAACATTCCATTCACCGATTTTTTTAGATGCACCTAGTATTCAGTCATTTTTCAAAAATATTTTCAACTAATACATCTCAGAAAATGACTGAAGTAATACATAAAATAACTAAAAGTCTTTAGATATTCTTTACGAATTATAATTTTAGTCTGATATAAAAATTGCGTGATAACTATATCGAGTTAAATGTTTACGTAAAAACAATACTCTTAAACAATCATGCTAAACAAAGCAATGCAACACATCGTTACTGTAAAAAAATTTACAAATTTTCAAAACAACACAACCATTACAATCCATTTCATTTCGCTTCTTATCCAACTTCTTGAACGAAATATTCAAGATTTTTATTTAAAAAAAACATAGTTCAAGCTTTTAGATTTACTATTGTAGTAGTTTTTAATATGTTAATTTATCTGATAGTTTTAAGACTTGGAGATTCACTAGTAAAAACTTCTTTATTGTAATTACAAGTCTCCAGATATTTAGTTTTATGACTGTAAAATTGAAAATATCTTGTTGCACCACTTGAAGCATGCACTATAATAAATAAATTCACAAAGTACTCTACTAGTAATGCTGTTTCTGCTAAGGAAAGTTGACTAAAAATTCCGACTTAATTTTCACAAAATAATTTTTTTTATATTTTATTTCTATATACATCGTCGTTAAAGCCTTTCAGATTTATATTCCTTGTTTCACCATGTAAAGGGCAAGAGATATGAATGGATTCTGGTTTTGAGCTTCTGCAAATCTCAAAATAAATCGAGGAGATATTATCGACTTACAAAAAACAAAGAACTTCTATTTGTAAAAGATGACAGGGACTCTTCTGGTTGTCACTATAAGAAGGAAGAAAAAAATACCACTTTTGGCGTCTTTCTTTTTCGCTTATAGGCATTGGCGAACTTTTTGGAGTAAAATGTCTTGACAAGGTAGAAGCACAACTTGTGGTGTCTCACAGAGACTACGTTGTGATGGTGTTGTCAAATTTGATTTAAGATAGATGGACATCGGGGAAGATGAAGATACATCACACAAGTGCTAATAGACTTTTTGCTGCAGGAACGGCCTTGCCATTGGAGGAAGATCTAGGGGTTCCCTAGAAGAGAAGTAGAAGTAAAAAAGAATATCGGCGCATGTAAGCTAAAAGCATATTTAATACAAAGGTATAATGCATGCATTTTATGAAAATATCAAACGCTCTGTAAATAATGAAATGCTCAATTCTTTTTTTGCGATCTTCAAAATTATAAAGCATTCTAAGTTTTCAAATTTAAAACTGTTACGAAAACGTTTTGTGTTTTGAACGAAAAGTATTAATTTAAAAATTGTCACAGATTGCAGTTTTGTTTTCATTTATGACCATTAGTTAAAAAAAGTATGATTAAATTTAGAAAACTACTCGTTGCTTGCTGAAAATAAACTTCCAAATGCTACTAAACAAACAAAAATTTGAAATACTGTAATGTACATTAAGCAATACCGTAAAACATTTACGGTAAAATTGTAAAAAATTATAAGTTTACATTCAGCATAAACCTAAAATGTTTATTAGTATTCTACGTTACAACTTGTTACAGGTCATAGTGGTTACAATGGTTCTGACGCAATTTCTTCTTCACTGGTTTATTTCATCAAATTTTAAGTCCGTCTTAGTATTGTCAAGCCATCTTGAGGATGGACTTCTTCTTTTACACTTTGTTTCATCTTTAAAAAGTTATTATTCGTTTTTTTGTTTGATTAGAGTCTTTATAAATGTAATACAATCATCGAAAACAAAGAGCCATAATTTTTTAATTGATTTAAAGTTCTCGTAATGTTCTGTATACTTTACGATTGTACTTGATTATACTATTTTCTTTTATTTTACTTCTTTTAATTCATTATTCCAAATAATACATGGAATATAGCTTTAAATTAATTTAATTAAGGAATAAGGGTTACATTAAGTATTATTCTCAAAAAGCATAAAAATACGTTTTGTGTAACATTTGTATATTCGATATAGTTGATTGAACAATGCGAGAAAAATAAATGGAAACCGTGTAAAAACTTTTGATCTACTTATCGGATTTTTACGTACTTGTGCTCAATCTCAATAATTCGATGGATACGTAAAATAGGTTCATTATTTAGTACTGAAGATAATTTAAATTAAGAAATCAGAAATAAAATGTATTTTCTTTAAATAAGTATATTATTTTTTTCGTGACAATATTTTTACTTGGATTCATGACCCTGAAAGTATGAGGCACGCAGCTTGAAATATCACCCGCACTAAGTAACTAGTATGTTTAAATTTTGATCCACGGACTATTATATTCTAGAGCGTGGAAAACCGATGATTAGATCAAAGGTTATTCAAAAATATTTGCTTCTTTCACCCAGTCTAAATAAAAAACAATGTATCTTATTCTATCTGCAATATAACATCATCTTCGCGATGTTTGGTGGTCTATATTTTATTTTCTAATCTGAAAAATAGGGGTTTTGTTACATTTTGGCGTTCTTAGAAACAATTCTTTTTGTCCTACTTATAGCAGAACCATTAAACCATTTTTAATTTGGTGATTTTTTGGTGAATGTATTTTTTCCTAACCATTAAAACCACTTTTTTTCAAATAGATAATTTGATAATCTGAGTAGCTTAATTTTTGTGTACAGACTATATGATTACGAAATTGATAAAAATAATTGATTTGCAATAAACTCAAGTTAGATTATGCTATTAAATCTTTTCCTCAGTCTTACTTAAATAGCATATTCTTTTTTCTCATTAAAAAAGCTATTTAATACAATTTTTGAGGTAAATTGTTAAGAAAAAAATTATTTTTTTACATAAGGTACATTTAAAATTTTAATTCTAAGTTTATTTAGTGTAATGCAGTGTATTATAGAAAGTATTTATATGTAAATGCAAAATTAATCTTTATAGTTCGCACTTTGATTGCATTCACAAAAAATTTAAAACTATTAAATATAGTGTTTAAATATTTTATTGATGTAAAAAATACAGCTCAAAACATGTTTTTAATAAATCCTTTTATTTTAACACATTACTGTGAGAAATTTTTTAAGAAAACATTGAGAATCTCATAATCATATCACTTTTAAAAATATTTTTTTCTGTTTTTATGTGCCGATACTCGGTAAAAATATCAACATTTAAATAAACTCTAAACAGAAAATCATATTTTGAAAACAAAAATTTTACGAGTGCGAAGATATTTTTCGACTGTTTTAATAAAATTTGAAAACTTAAATATTTCAATTAATACAGGAAATTTCACTTTCTTATATCACAATTGTTAAGCATTCGTTTTTTAAAACAGTTTTATATAGATCAATAAATATGATTTTAAATTGCCTTGCTTCTTGCTATGATAGGTTTTTCAAATGTTAATTTCTAATGTAAAATTTAATCGTATTAATTATGTATGATGCTTGTGTATGTATTATAAATGTTATGATTATATAAATATAATGTTAATTATATAATTATTTTAACTAATTATGAGAACTTGATATTATGCATAGTATGCAAAATAAAATACGGGAAACTTAAACTTATAATCTAATAATTGAATTGTCGCCTACGGAGGTTCAATTTTAATGGCAGAAAAGAGTAATCTCAAATATGCTATTTAATTTGTGCAAAAAATGTTTTAAGTTACGAAATCAGTTGCAAAAATGTACTTTCACTGAAGAAACAATTTTTTTTGGCAGATTGGATTCTAAATATAGGGTGTTCCTGAAATTTGGGATATGCAATCCGAATAGTTAAATCAAGAGAATAGTGGTAAGTTGGTTATCTTAATCTTAATTTTGCCTTTTACGTTATTAAACCAGTCCTTTGAAACTTTTCAAGACAATTAGTATGTATCGCTCACCATTAAAAACTTATTATCCAAAGATAATAATTACTATTTTTTTAAGTTAGTAACAAAAATGAGCTGAAGGGTACACAAATTTAAATTCATTCAATAAATGAAAAATTCTAACATTTTCACGGAATTGCCAGAAAAGTTCCTGAAATAAAATAAAATTTAGAAATATAACACCGTTGAAATTCTTTTTCATTTAAAATTACATAATAAAAAGTGAGATAAAAAAAATCTTTGGATAGTAAGGTACATCGATTTTTGACAGTTAATAAATTAATTAAAAGAAGAACTGCACATTTAACATTGAATTATCATTGGATTAATCAGTTTTTATTTGCTTGAATAGTTTAAGAGAGTTGACGAACTAATGAAAGAGTGATTTTATCATTAAGTGGCCAAAACTTTCGATCGTTTTCTTCAACAAACTATTTGGACCCTTTTCTTCTGCATATAACAGAACTCTTTATATTTTTTTCATCAAAATTTTTTGCAAAAAAATATTTATTTATTAAGAGAAAACACGTTTTTATTTCGTATTTTGTAACTTAATCAACAATGTAAATTTTGTGATTTGACTCAGCACAAATTATCTTTATTTATTAGCTCACCTAAACTGCCCTGGAACAGAAGTTTTCAAAGAGTTTATAATCTAGGGAACAACAATTTAAAGGAATAACAGTAACAATTTAGTTACAGACTGCCCATATTTCAATGTGTACTTCCGTATTAACAAACCGTTATTTTTGAATATTTCTTGCACGGTAAGCAAGAAACCAAAATAATTGGCTTACAAATCTATCCCTTTCAATTCCAAACTCCCCCCTTTCAAAATGGATTGCTTCTTTTTTGCAGATGGAGAAATGTATGAAAACTTCATTGACTTTATGCAGATGGAAATAAAACTTAACATGTTTCAAGAATCCTGTAAAACAGGTGTTTGTCTCTGATGTCTACTTTCATTTCCATCTGCAAATTTTCAAAGCAAATGAGGTTTTTTTTTATCATGTAACATTTTACCGCTCCAATTTCATGGAATTATCTAATGTTCCCCGCACTGTTCTTTTTGATGGGCCATTGATCTGTTTATACTTGCCCGGTATTCCCTACATTGATATTTTTTTTAAGTTTAAGGGCAGTCTCTCAGGAATTTTTAGATAGCCATTTTCATAATCTATACAATATAAAATTTGTAACCACATCTCCAGGATGAAAACTAATCCCAACAACTAAAATAATAATGGAAAAGCAATGGAAAGTTAGGCAAACTCGAAGATTTGGAATTTGTTTTGAATGCATTTTGTTATAATAAAATGCTTTATTTTTTTCAATTTCCAAATTCTAAAATAAATTTCGTCCTCTGCTTTTTTTTTTCTATTGAAATGAAGACGCTGGTCCCTTAACTTTCAGCACCTGCGGAAAATATACAACAATCCACCCCCATAGAAAGCACTTTAGAATGTATGTAAGGTGTAAAAGATAAAAGGGCTCTCTTGTTTTGTACGCCCCATACATTGATAAGCAAATGTTTTAAATGAACAGTTAAGTGAAAAAGAGTGCGTAACATGCAACATAAAGCTTGATACATACATAGACAAACACAGTAAGACGAAGGTGGGGCTGTGAAATGTATATTAATGACTTACCTATAGGGATTTAGTTTGAATAGGCTCAATAGGAGACTTACGTCCTGGCTTTGTTATACAGCCGTTGTTTCCATAGTGTCCCATTGGGACGGGGTTTGCATTAAACAAAAGAAAAAGAATACACCCACGTTGACGCAAAATTAGAGGAATAATTCAGCAAAGTAATAATTTCTATAAACTATCTAACAAGTCTATAAACTATCGAACATATTTTAAAGAATAGAGTATTTAAATATAGTGACGTATGTGATATTTGTTTAAACTTGCACTGTTTTTTCCGCTAAACTTAAAATTTTTTACTAGTAAAATTTCTCACAGACAAATCTATTTGAATTGCTCGGTAATTCGCTAAGGAGAGTACTAAAAATCTGTTTGACTTGCTCAGTAATTCGTTAAGGAGAGTACTAAATCTCTGTTTGACTTGCACACTAATTCGTTAAGGAGAGTACTAAAGATCTATTTGACTTGCTCAGTAATTCGTTACGAAGAGAATTAAAACGCTGATTAATTAGATGAGAATAAATTGTAGGGTTAAGTTGAAAAGTCTATTTTATTTTATAACCGTCGTTGAACAGCCGACCCTATTTTGGGTTTACAACTGCTAATGTTCATCTCCGCAGCCTTGTAATTTTGAACTCAATCCTGGATCAAGTTTTGGGAGAAATTTGCCTTCGTGGAGGGCTTTTTGATGGAACTAAGTCGCATTTGTGTTACATGGGGAGGAAAACCACGAAATCATCCCACAGTTTGCCTGACGGCAATGGAACTCGAACCCATGATCCGTCTACCACTGAGAATATTTTACCACAGCACTGTGGTCGGTGCAAGCCGGATGAAAAGTCTATTACAAAAATTAGATTAAAAAAATAATTATACTTAATTCAAATAATGAGTCCAATGCTTTTTTTAATACCACGAAATACACTTCGGATGATAATCATTGTTGAATATTTTCAAAAACATATAGTTTATGCACATTTTCCCTTGATTTGCCTTATCTAACCATTTTATTTAAGAATTGAACATTATTTTTAAGCATTTGAACGGTAAATCAACATGTAATTAGTAAATCAACCTATTATATAAATTAATTTGGTTCCAAATCAATATTCAAACATAAACAACAAAACTATCAAAATGTGATCAGTAACTTTTAAAGATGCCGAAATTAAAAATCATCAAAACCATTTTTCTATTATCAATTTTCTCAAGAATTCAAACAGGTTTTGATGTTTTCACCCTGTCTTCCATATTAATGATAGATAACTTAAATATTAACTCTTTGCTTCAAATAGGAATATTTTCTTGATTTCATCTGACACAAGGGTTTTGAAATTATATTATTACACGCGGTAATTACAAAACACCCTTCATAAGTTTACATATTTTTATTACAGATTGGTAAAATGTCACGAACTAATAAACGTAATTTTTAGAATCGCATTGAAATCCTTTTTATTTTCAGAGAATGTTTTGAAATTTATATGACTGATATCCTTTCTCATTTCATGTTTAATATAATTTTAAAGACATTGTATGGCTTATTTTTCAAAAAATTAAGACATATCCGTAAGTATAAAGCAGGAAATCGTGTTTAAATTCTTTATATGCTTATTTTTATTTTATCCATCTCATTGATTTTGTGTTAGTAACAGTTTTCGGAATTCGGATTATACAATAGCATGAAGAAATAAAAAGTTCCGTTTGATCTTCCGAATACTTGCGATAAAAGTAGGCTTTCTTTCTGCCCGTCTTTCCCCCTTTTTTTTATTTCGAAATAGAATACGATTTCTCGTTCGATCGAACTTTTAAACTTTCTCTTCCGATTTATAATAGGATAGACATCAGTTGATGTTACTAACCCTGGAATCAAAGTTTCGTAGACTTATTTCTAATTCGTTTTTTGAGTTTGCAACTGAAATGGACTAAGTCCAAATAGGATTATAGGCTTAATTTTGTGTAAGACGATTAGAATAGAATCTTTCGCATTTTAAGAACAAATTCGTCGATTTTTTTTAAAAAATCTTTTGGAGTCGAGGATTTTAAAAACAATTATTTGAAAAAATATTTTAAAGGCTAATTATAATTAAATATTGCATAACAGTTTCTTTTACTATAAAAAAAATCTATTTGAATATTTTGACAGTGTTTTCTTTTTCTTTTTTCTATAATAATTGCAATTTTTCTTGAAAAGATTAGTTCTTTTTCTTTGTCTTAATTACCCTTTACAAATTTCATTAAGACTTTAAACGAAAAGTACTAGAGTACAAAAATAGTACGGAATATATATTTAACTTTTCATTTTGAAATTATTTTTAACAGAAAAAACCCTTTGCTTAGTTATATACAAACTTTTACTCTTTCATAATTGTCTTAAAATAACCGTTGAAGCACTAAAATGCTGCTAGGACAGAAACTGGACATTAAGAAAGTTTTGTTTTCAGTGAAAAAAGCGTAAGTTAATAAACTTTTTTTACGACTCTTCTTCGCATGAAAGTATCTTTTTCCTTCCTTCTATTTGAACCATGTTGGTATAATTGTTAAGTTACTGTGCTATCATTGTGCACGAAGTATGTTTTTAAATGTCTTAATTCATGCGTTATTTTGATTAAAAATATGCATATGCAAATGCATATGCATATTTTGATTTAAAAAATTTTGAAAACAGAATTGAAGACTACAAGAATTCATTATTCGCGTTAATTCACTCTGGCATATTGCTTAGGCATTTTTCCAATTGGCTCAGCAGTTTATTCTTAAATGTTATGATTCATGTGTTATTGTGTGTTTTGATAACTAAGATAATTAGTAGAATACATTAGAATACATTATTCGTAGTAATTCACTCTGGTATATTATTTAGGCACTTTTCTATCTGTGCATGGAGTATGTTTTCGAACGTCATAATTCGTATGTTATTTTAAGTTTTGATTGCTAAACAGATTTGATTAATTAAAAAGATTAGTAGCAGAATTGAAGTAAGCCAGAATGCATTATTCGTATAAAATGTTATTGTTTTTTTTTAATATTTTCACCACTTGTTTATAATTTATGCATTATGAAAGTTATGTTTCTTTTGTATTTCTAACAAATGTTCAATACCATTATTAGAGCAATAATTTATATTTTGATCAGTTTTCTGGAATTGACATTATAGATATCTATCGCGTTAATAGTGATGATATGTAAGGTAGTAATTTCATTCTTTGAACTTGGTACCTTAAGAGTTAATGTAGTCGAAATTTTTATTTTTTAATATATTTTGCCTATTTGAAAAATTTAACATTCTTTGAAGGGTGCGGCAAAAAAACTCGAACAAAGTTATTCTATCACAGAATAGATGCTCACAAATGTCTTTCTTATTTGTGTTTTCAGTTCTTTTTGCCTACCACTTTCATTATTATGTGCATCTTAGTATGCAAATTGCTTTTTTTTCTTTTCTTTTTGCTTTTTTACAATGTCCAGCAAAAGATTTGCTATTTTAGGCAAGTTAAACGACAGTGTAGAATCGTTCGTTTGCTCTGTAAACAATCATTGTGCACAAAAGTTGGACTTTCTAAAGTAATTGTTACGGCGAGAATCGGAGAGATTAAAGTTAAGACTTGTGACCCATTGCTGAAAATTTAAATGATCGTTTCCGCTTTTGCAGCATTGCAGAAAGTAGCCATTTTGAAACCAATTAAATTTATTTATTAGTGAAAGTCACCTCTTTTTATTACTATATTTCATTAACTTATTTATTTCAATGAATATTAAAATTGTTTGTCACACCCTTTAAATTATTTTCACATTTAGTTCAAAAATAGATTAACTTTTCTCGCTAGTTAATCTTAAATATGCTTATAAGTATATAGTATGCTTATAGGCAAGTGAGAAAGAATAAAAAAGACAGTTAAAAAAAGTTTTGCTAGGTCTTTTAAACAGTGTTGCCACAGAAAAGAATGAACAAAACAGTTGCTTTTATTAGCCTAAAACATGAAAATAGTAGCCAAAAGCTAGGAAAATAGTTGCCTAAATAAGAACAAAAATTCATCAAAAATATGACTAAAATTTTGTTAATGACTTAATTGTCATATGCCATGTGATCCATTCAGTCAAGTTGGTGGCAAATATAATTTTTATATAAACGTAAACGTTTATATATACGAGGGTTGTAAATTAAATAGTGGCAACTTAACCTTTAAACTCACAGAAGGACGGGCATGCGCAAATTTAGATATGGGAGCTGTGAGGTGGGGCTGTTGTCGATGTGTAGAGTGCAAAAAAAAGTCGATTAGCTTAGAAGGGTAGTTGTTGTGTGGCGTTAAAGTGAGGAGTTTCGTTTCCATCGCTCTAAAGCATGCTTTCAAAAGGTGATCAGCGGTCGTGGCTTACAATCGAGGTTGCCCGTGGCAAAAATGCAACAGAATGCTATCGAGGATTAGTGGAAGCCTTTGGAGCAAATGCTTTACCATATAGGACAGTAGCACGATGGATTCAAGCATCTCGTCTTTTTTCGTCATTAAGCCTTTTCACAACATGCTTTAGAGCGATGGAAACGAAACTCCTCACTTTAACGCGACACAACAACTACCCTTCTAAGCAAATCGACTGATTTTTGCACTCTACACATCGACAACAGCGCCACCTCACCACACCTATACCCTATTTACGCATGCGCGCCCTTTTGTGAGTTTCAAGGTTAAGTTGCCACTATTTAATTTACAACCCTCGTATATATGAAAATTGATTATTCAAATTCGGAACTCACGCATCTAATATCGTATTAAATTTTTTTTTTAATTTCGTAGCACTAATCATATAAATGGCGATCCAGAAATGAAATAGTCTTACAATGGAGTCTGTGCAGATTGAACGAACTAAAAAGTAAAGACTCAAATTTGCAATTTAAATTTTCAAATTTTTTTATTTTTTAGAAAAAAAAAGTTCAGTGTGTTCAGAAATTATCTTGTGGGGTGCAGATTTTCCACCCAATTTATGCTTTAAAAAAAATACATTACTAAGAGTACAGAAAAGTCTCCCAATAGTCTCCTTTTCCTGAAAATAGTTGCTTTTTTAGCCTTTTCAGGCAAAAAAAAAAAGTTGCCATAGTCGCCTCANAAAAAAAAAAAAAAAAAAAAAAAAAAAAAATACATTGCTAAGAGTACAGAAAAGTCTCCTAATAGTCTCCTTTTCCTGAAAATAGTTTCTTTTTTAACCTTTTCAGGCAAAAAAAAAAAGTTGCCATAGTCGCTTCATGCCAAAAATAGTTACAAATAGTTGCATTTTAGTCGCCCGTGGCAACCCTGTTTAAACAAGAACGAAATTTTAAGAGTACCCAATCAGTGTTTTGTTTCTTAAATACTTACAGCGAATTATTTAAACTAATTATTACAATCGACATTTTTATCTATTTGCGGACTAATATTCATATAGCAGAAACAATGCGTGTATGTTACCGATTCTTGTAGAAAATGAAAATGAATGAAGGTAATATTTGTTTTTCTTTATTTCAGTTATGATATTTTTAAGTAAAACATATGTTTTAGGTCGAAGTGTTATTAAGAAAATGTGTGACCTTCAGAAATGACCAAAATATCGATTTTTCCATTTTCAGTAGTAATAACAAATCGATATCATATGCCTTTAGACGAAAAAAGAATTTTCAATTATTTTCTTACCGATTAGTCTATCTTATTTTCGATAAGACTTTTTTAAATTCTGGTATCGATATCTAGTTTTCTCGTTTGTGCAATTACCGCATGGAATGTATTTGTTGTATCTGTATCTGTTACCGATCACTCCAATTCTCATTTATTTTCTTTAAAGAAATTAAAAAAATTAATATTTTTAATTTATTTCGTATTTAATTTTGTGCCTAGCGCTTTCGCAATACTTTATATACATATTCTTTTAACTAGCGTTAAAAGTTTTTCAAGGGAAAAATGCATATTTATTTTTATAAACGAAAAGTTACCTAAAATAAGAATTAATTGAACTAGAATGAAAAATTATGGCAAATAAAAAGTATTTACTTTAAAGAGCTCTAAAAATTGATAAGAATATATTTTTTTGAGTAATATTTCGAAAAAAATTACCGTTAACAACGTTTAACAACATCCTTTCATTTATTGTTTTATTTGCAGAAAAACCGCTTTTCTCTCGTTATTCAATGAAAAAGTTTAGATGTGAGGAGAAATTTCTATATAAATGTTTAAACGTGAAGCGCTAGTTCGACTAATTACAAAATTAATACAAATGACCTATTTTTTATCAGTTCTTAGCATATTAAATTAATTTAATATTAAAAGTTATTTGAATTATTACAGAAACAATCGAAAAAGGTTTTGCGTTTCATGCTTTTCAAGTTATGTTTTCATGTTTTTCAAGTTATGGAATCACTTACTCATTACAAAATAAGCCAAAGTTAAAGTTAGAACGTTATTACAGTAAATTTGTTTAGATACAAATTAAAAACCCTCGAACTTAAAGCCGTTTGATATTTTATACAAATTTATATCTATAAACAAAATGTTATTTAACATAGTCACATTTTATTCAATGTTTTAAAATATAAAGCTAAAGCACTCAAAATCATAACTAAGTAAATCTCAAAAATATAAAGCTAAAGCACATGGTATATTTTTTCTCATTTTTATCAGATTAGATTTATTTTTTCTTAAACCACTATTTCTACGAGATTAAAAAAAACAATACAGACTGGTGGAATTGATTAAAAAGTTTAAAAATCTGGTGTTCTCAGAAAAAAGGGCAAAGTTATGTGTCGTGGCGTAAGACAAGCGTGGTCGTTTGTCACCTTTCAAATATAATCGATGATTTTTGTAAAAAAAAGAAAATATATCAATTTAATGTTTTCTACTATGATAATATAATTAGCATATACATAGCGTAATAGGTAAAAGTAAACAAGGAGCTAAACTTACAGATACTGTCGTAGCAGCATACGACATACGGCGTCCACGCATCAGCAATGCCTGATTCCACTTTTTGCGAATTAATGCTATGACCTGAATAAAAAACATAACTTAATGGTAAGAAACATAATTTCAGCATTTTGAACTTCATGTAAATATGATGCAAGCAAACTAAAGCAAATTGGTGTTATTATAAAAATTATCTTAAATGCAATGCACATTTGTTACAATTATTTTTTTAATAACTGACCAAATGATTAAAAACATAATTCGATGGTAAAGAACATTAAATTGGCATTGTTTAGCTGATTACAGGGGTGATTGTGAGCCCAAGTCAAAATTCCGGAAAATTTCCTGGGTTTAAAAAAAAAAATTAAATTGAAAAATTAGAAAAAAAATAGGAAAAGGAAAAAATTTTTTTTTTCCTTTTTCTCAATATTTCTTAGTTTACTTAAAATATATTTAAAATTTTACACATACCTATATCATTTACACATAGCTATGATGACCTGGAGAAGTAATTAAAATTTACAAATATGTCTTTTTTTTGAGTTTATGATTATAACAACTATTTACTGATAAAAAATTATTATTAATTATAAATATAAGCTTATAAAGTATCTCTCTGACTCTCCCTTACAAACAAATAAATTAAACTGTGTTTTTAAGTTCCACCTTTGAAAATTCGATTTCCGGAAACTTCTGTGATGAATGATTTTTTGAAACGTCTGGACCTTCGATCTCCGGAAACTTCCGGAGCACAATCAGCCCTGTGATTATAAATGTAATATGTTAAACTTATTTAAAAGAATTGACATTTAGTTTGCTAATTATTTTGAAAACACACCAAAATAGATATATATTTATTTTTCTAATGACTGAACTACATTAATAGTTAAAAACATAAAGCTTTACGAATTGAAATATCCATTGCTTAACCAACTGCGACTTAACGATATTTAAAGAGAACTTTTCATTAGAAGTTTTATTTTGCTGAAAAATCCTGTTTTGCTCCTATTATTCATTGACAAAGCGGTGAATTGAGGAGAAATTTCTATATAAATTTACTTAAATGCGAAATGCTCGGTTGGTTAATAACAAAATTGATCTCTGAATCTATTACTATTGTGTTTTAAGTAATCATATATTTGTTGTATTAAATGTGAAGTTTAATACATGATCATTGTTTCTTCGAAAGAAAATATGCATATACGCTGCGTTAGCCGTTTTAAATAATTTCTTTTCTCTTTTATGGAATTGCGGCTTTTATTCTAATAAATCTTTCAAGAATGTCGTTGTCGAGTGTCATTGTCTAAGAGGAATCTAAAGCTTTCTTAAAAGAAGTTTCATAACATATTGGAAGGATAAATCACAAAAGAATCTTTTTCCTCCAATATAAATTCGAAGTTTATTAAAAGGAGATTTTTGCCTTGAATGTTTATTATTGCCTTTAAATTATCATTCCTGATAATTTTCATTATCAACTAGCCCTTTCCTGCTTGGCTAATAATTTAAAGAATACTAAAGTTGTTTAGTCAAAGAGCAATTGAACAATCAGCATTTGAGAAGGTTATTAAAATGTTTTTAATTTTTACGTAATAATACTACATCACAATCAAAATATTAAAATTACGTAATTACGTACGTATAATATCAAAATATTAAAATTACGTAAATTATGCTATTTTATAAGGTGATCTAATTTTTAAATTGATTATATCGTTTTGGCATGAAATTTCGACATATAAGTGTGTCTGAAAATTCACACAGTCAGTCTACAATACGTTTATAAATTTTACAAATCCATTGAGCAAGGAAATGTCAGTTTTTTTTCTTTTATAGCGTCAGTTGTCACAAATATTTCTAAAGTAAGGAAAATAGGCTAGTTTAATATAATTCAAAGAATAACTACTACGAATTAGATTTAAAAAAATGTTCATTACAGGTGTTGATATCTTGAGGTTGTTAATGGAATAATGCCGAACACCTCTAAATGAGTTAGTAAATAATAGTTTTTTAAATTATTTCTTACCTCGCCATTGAAGAAGCAGAAGAGTAGGGCTACCATGAGACCCTATGAAAGAAAACATAATATAAGAATAATTAAGAATCAAAATTAGTATTAAAATCGCTATATTTAATTTGGCTGAGATGAGATGAAAATACTTATTTATTGACGACTGAGCGAAATCTGTGGTACTTGAAATGAAAATGCTGATTTATTAACAATTTTATTATAAGTCTAGCAAATCTGTGGTTAATTAAAAAGTAATCTGAAGAAACTGAAACAGCAAGATATTACTTGATCTAAAATAACTTCATTCGCTTATGAATATGACAATTTGGAAATAAAAAGTCTACTTGTTTCAAGCGCAGGAAAATAGGCGTTCATTTTCAGGACTTGCCAGACATGAATGAGACGAAACAAAAGAGATTAGAAAAAGAAAAAAAACGCAAAGTTGCCAACGAAAATGGAAAAATAAAGGTTAAAAACAAAATTAAAAAAGCCACAGTAGCCGAGAGCGAAAAAAAATTGAAAATCAGAACGAGAAAAACCATAGTAGCCGAGAGGGGCAAATCAGATTAAAATGCATTGCAGCAAGCTATGGAACGGTGGTGAGAAACTAATACCGTTTACAAGGGAATCAGAATTCATATGAATAAAACAAGATTCCAGGGCATCATGATGAGCTGATGTGACTGGGGTGGAAGTAATTTTGTCATTGTCGAAATAGAACTTATGTCCAAGATTCCAACAATATGCAGTAAATGATGATTTTTCGTATTTTTAATGATGGTCATATCTATTGGGTTCCTTAAGCTTAAATTTTTAATGCGTGTTTTGTTTGTCCAATGTAGCCTAGGTCGCACAAACAAGGAATGTGATAAATGGCCAAGCGTTAATAAAAATTAATATGATCTTTAATAGACTTAAATTTAATTTTGTTAACAGGCCCAAAATTGAATTTTAAAACAAACCGGGTGCAGATATTATCAATTTTAATAACAAGCGGGTGGAACAAACTGTAAAGTAACAAGTTCTCTGCAAGGCTAAGAGGAAGAGGGATGTTAAGCAAGAACTGAGTCAACTATAGAAGAGTTAAATCAGAGGTAAACGAGCAAGTGAGCGGATCAGAGAGAGCAGAGGCAAGTGAGCGGATGAAGTTCAGAGTTCAAGGATGAAAAGTCAGAGCAAAGGTTTATTGCGAGGAAAACGAAGGTATGAAATGCAGACATTTTCTGAAAGGGGAATTAGAATTAGCATGAGGGAGCAAAGAGGTGGCAAAATATTTACGGTAAACAGAGATGAAAAAAATGATCTGGGTATTTAGCTGCAAGAACATCCGAAAAATGTAAAATAAGATGAATTTCTGCACCTAAAGTAAATTAAACATTAAGGTTAATCGAATTGTCAATCTTTCTCAGAAAAGAATATGAATGATCTTTCTTGATATTGTTTCTCTTTTTTAGTAATGTCCTCATTTCAGGCGCTATTGATTGTTTAAAACTACGTTTGCAATAATTTCACTACTTTTTTATAGAAATTGAAGATGTTCTCTTGTCAATTCCTGTATTGAGCAAAATTTTTTAAACTCAATGGTGATTTTATAACGAATTGAGAATTTAGCCATTGGCGACCCCGTCTCTCTCATTCTTTGTGTCTTTTTCATGCATTATTTCGAAGAAAAATTATTTAGATTGTTCAAATTCTCATGGTGGAAAGGATATGTTGACGATACTTTTGCCTTACTACTCAGTGATACTGATTTTAATGAGTTATTTTCTGTTGTCAACTCAATTGATCGTAGTATTTAATTTACTTTAGATGCGGAAATTCATCTTACTTTACCTTTTAGGGATGTTGTTGCAGTTATATACCCTAATCATTTTCTACTTCTGTTTATCGTAAACATTTTACCATCTCTTTGCTCCCTCGTGCTAGTTCTAATCGCCCTATTATCAGAAAATGCCTGCATTTCATACTTGCGTTTTCCACGCATTTAAACCTTTGCTCTAACTCTTACTTTAACTCCGAACTTAACTTCTTCCGATAGCTAGCTACTTACCATGAATTCAACACGTCTATAGTTGATTCGGCTCTTGCTAAACTCACTAGACCTAAACAACTGTCTATCTCTAAATCTTGCAGAGAACTTATACTACCGTATGTTCCTCCCGTTTGTGATAAAATTGATAATATCCTCTCCTGTTTTTTTAAAGTCAATTTTAGGCCTGTCAATAAAATAAAATGTAAGTTTCTTAAAGATCCTATTAACAGTGTGGTCTTGTCTACATTGGACAAACAAAACATGCTTAAAAATTTTGACTTAAAGAACCTGATAGATAGGTCCGTAATCGAGAAATCTGTTTCGAGGCATCATCAAATGAGGCATATTGTTGGAATCTTGAAGATAACGACAACAATGCCATGATTATTTCTACCCTAGTCACATTAACTCACCTTAATGTTCTGAATCTTGATTTATTCATTTGGATGCCGATTTTCTTGTTAACGTGATTAGTTTCTCTTTAACTCTCCATTGCTCGTGGAAATACATTTTACCCCGATTTGCCTCTCTTGTCCACTGGAGATTTTCGTGTTCTATTTTGCATTTTTTTTTCTCTCTCGGACATTTCGGTGTTTCTAGTTTTATTTCTGACCTTTATTTTTTTCATTTTCGCTTGCAACTTTACGTTTTATATTTCAAATCATTTTTGTTTTGTCTCATTCACGTCTGTAAGTCATGAAGATGGACGCCATTTTTTGCACGCTTGAAACATGTCGACTATTTATTTCCAATTTTTTATCTTATTTTTGAAGGGAATAAAGTTTTTTTTTAATTAAGTAAGTCTGTAGTTATTTCAATATTTCAGTAATGAAATTTATTTCAAATTTCAATACAACCATTCTATTTCAATTAGTAAATTAAGTACATTATTATTCAAATAAATCTTAATGCTGTTAGTCGCATACAATTTTTAGTTTGTATTTACAATATTAATTAACAATAATTGATTTTAGCTCTACGTAGTGAGATTTAATATCTAAACCACTTATGGTTAAAATGGTTAGATTTTTTTGAAGATATCTATTTAAAGATTGTATAGTTATTTTATTTTATCATTTTTTTTCTGTTTAAAGTAAATGTTTTTTTAAAAAGTAATTCGATACAATCAACATTTAGCAATGTTTTTTAAATTGATTCCTAACGCAAATCTTTAATCATCTCGATGCATGAGTAAATTGATTTATAAACCTTTTTTTTTCAAACTCCCAACTAACTTATTATTTTTTACCTTAACACGCATAAACTTTCTTATTAATTACTTTTATCATTACTCCAATAGGCACTTCCAAGAATGTAAACATATGATTTGCATAATTATTACCTGGAATGATGTGACTATGGCTGAGAGAGTCTCATAAATGGCTTCCCCTGGAGATCTTGGCACTGGCCGAAAAGGAGTAACGACATAATGCAAACCCAATAATGGAATAAGAATTAGGGTTGCACGAACTGCTTTCCTGAAAATAATAGTGTATGCAATAATTTAGTATTCAAAACAATTCTGTTTTTAGTGTGAGATCTGTAATAATATCAATGTAACAGAGTAATTTATTGTCATGAAAATTTAAATTGCTGTTTTTTTAAACGTAACTTATTTTCTATGTTCTTTTATTGATATAGTGAACATTTCTTTGCATATATTAATTATTTTGCACTTATTTTAACTGTTTGGTTATTTATTAAATGCTTTTTTTTTACAGATTTTCACGCTATTATCCCTGTTAAAGATATTTTGTTTATTTACTAACTTTAAAGAAATTTCTATAAAACGTTGAACAAGAACTGCAGATTTAAATGCTATTTGAAAATGTAATTCATATAGATATTCAAATACTGATTCACAAAGGCATGGAAAACTTTTTTACACTGTAGTTATTTTATAAGGATATTTAAATAGCGGCAATACATAGATATTTAAGATATTTTGCAAGCACATTTAAATCGCTGCTTTACCCAGGGAGCCCGGATTCATTGTATTCTACAGACATTCTATACTCTTTTGAGAGTTTTTTTTTTAGTTATCCTTATAGAGAGCGCCTGTTGGCATCTAAGTGCACGCCAAATGGATGATAGGCTCTCAGCGCGAACGTATATCAATATCGCCAACTCTTGAAACAACTTTGCCCTTTTCTTTGCTTGCTTTCTTAAAACGTGTGAAATGAAGAAAATAAAGCTTATTAAAAAATATATGCCCTAAATATATGCCCTTATTACTAAATATATGCCCTGCACAAAAGCTGGCTATAAAGAAACACAGTTTGAAATTGGAGCATACAAATTCGAAGCCGTTGATAGCTTCACCTATTTGGGGTCTAAGATTAACAACAAAAATGACACTACACAAGAAATACACACGAGAATCACGATGGCCAATAAGTATTTTTATGGCCTAAGAAAATATCTTAAGTCAAGCCTAATAAAAAGAAAAACAAAAGTGTTACTCTATAAATGTCTTATACGATCAGTGCTTACATACGCATGTGAGACCTGGACAATGACCCGTGGAGATGAAAATATGATAGCTAGTTTTGAGAGAAAAATACTGCGAAGCATTTTTGGTGGAATAAGTAAAAACGGTACCTGGTTTAGAAGATCAAATACGGAACTCTACAAAGCATATAAAGAACCTGATGTCATTAAATTTATCAAAATTCAAAGGATTAAATGGGCAGGCCACATTATAAGAATGGAGGATAGCAGGACAACCAAAAAAGTTTTCTGTGCCAGGCCAACAGGTACAAGAAAAAGAGGACGACCAAACCTAAGATTTTTAGACTGCCTTGAAAAGGACCTACAAATTTTAAAGATAATTAACTGGAGAACTTTGGCTAAGGGAAGAATGTCTTGGCATAGGCTTGTTGAGAAGGCCAAGGCCCATCCTGGGCTGTCGTGCCAATGAGAAGAAGAAGAAAAAATATTGTTTCGTTGATAAGAATTGTTTATTAATTATAATATAAATATATAATATTATAAATAAAACCTAAATATCGTAACAAATATGCGCCTTTCTGTTTGAATTTAAAGAAACTGATGAAAGAATAATAAACATTGTTTCTTGCAGACGAATTTCTTCTACAGCGAAGCAAAAAAAAATAGTTCTTTATCTCTCCTTTGATTTGCTGTCAGCATAAGACGCGCCATTTTCATTGGTCCAATCTAACCCAATGCTCTTTCAACGTCTTATGATTGTTTCTTTGTCAAGAATGAATGTTCACCTTATTTATCGAAATATATCGCCAAATCTAAGATTCTAGTAAGACTACGAAACTATAACCCTTTTTTAATAATTCTACGATATACACTAACCTATAATAACGGAATAGACACTTTGAGTTTTTGACATTTTCTAAATTTCTCAAAAGATACTTAAAGGATCATTTTATAACTTTATAGATGTTTTAGTTCAAGCGATTTTTAGCGATAGCAATAAGATTTAAAGCTTTCAGAGGTTTGGGTGACCGACAATAAATTACGAAAGGAAACACGTAGTTTTGAACACCCTATGCTAGAAAAACAAGCAATAAACTTGTATCAATTATTTATTAATTTTTAAATGTTTCTTTTTATAATTAAAACTCAAATTTGAAACTTAAAGCGTCTATAAATGTATAGTATAATAGTTGAAGTCTTATCAAAGCTTTAGTTTACTATCTAAAGTAGAGCTTGAACAATTATCGACAATTTATGGGCTCTAGGTTCCTAGGTTAAAATTTCAGTTTTTTTTTGTTATATAATATAATTATAAGTAACACCAATTATTTTAAAACACCTATACCATACACATTATTTAAAATAAAAAATTCTTATGTTTTTAGTGTTTGAAGAAGCATTTTGTACAATTTGTTGGAGTACTAATAAAATAGTAGTTTCTCTTTTATTCTAAAGTATTAATTCAGATTAAAAGCTAATTATTTCATAAAAATTTTTAAAAAGAATATCGAAAATTATACAACAAATCATGATTAATATGATAGAATTATTCTTACCTTAAATAATATTTTATTATTTTCCTAAAATAATTTTTATTTGATTGATTAAAAATATTAATAAAAATATTAATAAAAATATATTAATAAACTATATTAATAAAAAATATTATATATTGATAAAATAGAATGTCATATTATATTCATATATGACTTATATTTTCGCCTAAAACAGGACAGTGCTGAATCTGTTTTATCGATTGATTTTATATGAGGTTAACTATTTGCTTCAGCAATGAAATATAGCTGCATGTTGGAGAACTCAGTGCCATGTTTTTCTTTATGGTTTTATAGCTAGACATTAGAACATTGGCGAGCAATCATTCGGCTCAAATCTGTCACCAGCTGTCGCCAAATCTTCTGATCGATGACTTAATATCGTTCTATAAAATTTAATTAATTTCTTCGCCTCAAACTGAGAATACTTTACGGAAGTTTTCTTTTTTTTAATTTTGACCAATTAATATAGGACACAAATGGAAAACGTTTGATAAACGTTTTAAAGTTAGAACAATAATTTTTTATTTAATTATATAATCTTTATCGTAAGTTAAATCAAGTGAAAATCAATAGATAAAATAAAATTGAATTTTGATTAATTTTTTATTATCTTTTAAAGATAAATATAAACTTAATTATTTATCAAAAAAAAGTATTGGAATTTCACTAAATTAAACTGAATAAACGCAGTAAGTTATTTATTAAACTAAAATATTTGACATTTTTTAAATTTTGTATTATTTCGTTTAACTAGTCTATTAATATGCTAGTTAGTGAAAAACTGTATATCAGTTTCTGTTGCGTCTTTTATTATTTTTTTTATTAGTCCTTCATATTTCGAATTTAAACAAAGATTCGCTTTAATCTTATTAGATTATAGTATAAATCATAATAAATGCTAAAAAAAAAAAAAATTCTTTTGAGTTCCTTTATTAAGATTTTCGTTCTGGTGCTAGGGTTTTGAATATCTATAATTGGTGTTACTTATTAGAATATAAATTACGTTTAAACGAATGTTAAAATTTAAAAGCAAGTTCATAAAAGTATATTGCTAAAATATTTTAGGTAATCAATTAATCGATTTTAAAAATTGTCAGTATATATCGTATAATGTACTTATTTTATTTGTAAAATATTTATTTCTTAAAGCTAAAATAAATTGTATTTCTTGAAAAAAAAATTTACAAATAATCTGACTATACAAAGAAAAAGGTGAAACATAAATACCTAGTTTGATGCGTATCGGGCGAATTAACAGCTCGCAACTTGGTTACCAGGACTCTGACGATATTGACAAGAAATATGAAGTTCAACTATAAAAGAAATAAAAATACTTATATGAACAAAACGAACTCGAGATTAGATTTTTTTCGTTCAAAATGCATTCTTTGGAAATTTCTAGCTCAATACGATCAAGAAAACTATGAATGCAATTTTTTCTGTGTTTTTTCATCAGCAAAATTATGTATAAACTCATACTAATTTTTCTATTATAAATAAAGCTAATATGTAAACCTAAGCTATTTTTGCTATACGTTATTCCTCTTCTTGATTTTTTTCGTCTCCTTCAATGTTTTACATTTAACATTTAATATCAAAACCTAAATGTTAAAAACTATTTTAAAAATAAGACTGTATTTTAAGAAATAAATACATAAAAGGAAAAAAGTTATCAGTGTTTCTACTTTCAGTATTTTTTTTCAATAAAAATCCTTCAATATTGGTCGTTGAAGTAGATCATTCAAACCATTACATTGAAAATATCGTATTGACTATTAATTAAAAAAATGAAATGATTTGTACCTATACACTAGCGTGCAAAAGTCTTTGGTCAAAATGATTATAATAGATGGTTGATTGGAAATGTAGTAAATAATGTATAATTTTATTCTTAAACATTCTTAATATGCTTATCAACCAGAAAGCAAAGTTAGCGCTTTGAAAGTCACTTTAAATCAAATGCAATTTTTATATCAGTTGGGTATTTCGTGAAGCGATTTTCTTACATTTAAGAATTAGATGTAAATTCAATTGAAACATACAATTTTAACAAATAAGCATAAGTTTTGCATATTCATTTACGGAAATCGTGATTTTAAATTTAATTTAATATTGAAATTTATTTTCGAAGAAGTAGTTCTTACAAGATTCGAATTGTATAAAAAATGAAATATTCAACTGAACTGAGTGCAAAGATTTAAATTTAATCCAAAGAAGATTACATTTTCCATTAAATTGCAAGTAAAAAATTCTGAAATCAAGCGTAATATATATGTTGGCTTGACTAAATAAAACGAAAATCATCTCTACTAAAAAAAAGAAGAAAAAAAAGACATAGAAAGGTAAAAATGCCTTTCACGCGTTGACCAAAAACTTTTGCATGCTAGTGTATGCAAAACAAACATTTTAAAAATACTTAATCTAATGAAGATTCAACTACGCAATCAGAATTTATTTAAGACAAAAATAAAAGCAATGTTCATGCAAAATAAAATTTACGTTAATTGGTTTCTCAAGATTGATACTTGCTGATTTAAAAAAAAGGTAAACTAAAGGTTTTCTATCTTTTAAATAAAATAAGTAAAAATAGAATTGACAACTTTTGTGAATAACAGGTTGCATGAAAGTTTATTAGGATGGTTATAACCGCATCATTTCTTTGACAAGGGGGCCGTTCAAAAAGTACGTACACAAAAATGGAGAAATTCTAACCCCCTTCGTACATTACCGTACGTAAGGTCTTACACCCCCCCCTTACAGTACGTACATTTTATTGGTCTATATATCATATATATCATAAAAATTAAAATAATTATGTTTAAAATAAAATTAAATATTTATTTAAAATAATTTATTCATTTACATTATTTAAACAATAACACCCAACTTGATCTTTGAATCAATAAATAAAACAATCTTATCTGATCAACATAATTATTTCTTACAACCAATACAATTAATCTACAGTATTTTCCCAAGGACATTCCAAATGCTTCGCGAGAGTCACCAATTCAGCTTTACTCTTGTCTGCGACTGATGAAAAATTTAGATTCAACGAGATCATTTTCGATTCACTCTGCATCATCTGCAAACCAGGAAATGGTTTCGGAGGATGACCAAAAGTTCTTTCTGTCGACGAGCTGCTACACGAACTGGTCTTACTTTGTTGATTTGCAAAGAAGATTCGCATATTTTCTTGTGATGTTTCAAACAAGTTAAAGATCCAAAATATGTACCACAAGTAGAACAAATTTTGCGTTTAATATCACCTTCTACCGATGGGTATGCTGGGTCATATGGTATTTCTGTGATGGTACCAGGTACCAGAAAAAGTTTCGGGGAAAGTTTGTTGTTTGCAATTTTTTATTTTGCGAAACAACTTTGAGAACAGATTTACTCATTCTAACAAGTAGTCGCAGTGTGAAAAAAAAAATACAAGAACAAACATATGTATAATACATGTGTAGGAAAAAGACAAATTTAAATTTGGTGTATGCTTATAATGTACGTACTTTGTATAATACCTCCCCTCTCCACATCGTACAAAACCGTACAAAATAGCAAATCCCCTCCCTCCCCTTCGGGATGTACGTACTTTTTGAACGGCCCTTATGGTTATTTTCAGTATCTTGACCATATAAAAAGATGAACTTTTTCTGTGCAACTTTAAGACAGGTAAATTTTTGGGGATTTTAGGATTTAGTTGTATATGCAGTAAACTACTAAAATAAAAATTATGAGAGGCCCAATTGAAATTCTTATTTATTATTTACGTCAGACCACATCATAACTTCAACACTCTCACAAAAGATTAAATATTTAACACTGATTTAAAAACTACTCGAATAATCTGATGCTTAATTAATAATAAAGCCTTACATTGAAAAAAGAGCTTAAATATAGCATTTTAGGACACAAACTATTTCAGTTATTCAGATTTTTTTTTGAATAGCTATGTGAAGCTTTCATCGAAATTTAATTATTTTATTTGCAAATGGTATAAAGATAATGAGTCAAATTGGATAATCAATATCATGGTAAATAATTAGACAACCAAAAGGTGACAGATATTAAAATATTTAAGAATACCGCGTAGTAATTACAGTGAAAATGAGCCTGATGCGATAATGAATATGTGTCGTAACTAAATAATTCCAAATCCTTTGATGTAGAAAAGTCATTAAATTCTTTGAAAAATTAAGAAATTTTTCCCTTTCACCTTGCTTGTTTTTCATTCCAAGAATTAATCATAACTCATAATTAAAGTGTGTTTAAAGGGATTTGTTCTTGATCTTTAATTAAATTAATTTACACTATTTTGAACTCTGGCTGTTTTGTGATTACAAATGGAATTCAAACCTTAAGCCTAAGGCATACAGAAAACCTTTTTTTGTATGCTGATATTGCCTTTTTAGAAGAAAAAAAAAAGGACGCTATTTTTAATGATATAATGAGAAAAAAATAGCAATCATGGTATTGTGAAAGAAATAGTGCATAAAAAATTCAATTTAATAATAAAATTCTGCTTGTTAGATAGGTGTTAATTAAAATTATTCAAATAAGATTATAGAAAAATTAAAAGAATATTTGCTCAACAAAGTTTAAGTTAATTGGAATTTTAAGGAAAAAGATCCTTATTTTAATACTAACAAAATAATTGAAACCGTTATACTATTACGGTTTCAAATATTTAACGGTTTCAGTAGTTTTATTAAACTATTTAATAAAACTTCTGTTAAAGTGAACTTAAAACAATATTACAATTTACAACAATTTAAATTATTAAGCATCTGATATAAGTTAAATTACTAAAAAAGCTATAATATATTGTGGTTTTGTTTTAAAAATTAACGTTTGGATAAAAATTAAGTTATATTAGAAAAGTTTTATTAAAAAATACCACTTTAATGTAACCAGGGTTTGCAGAAGAATGTTTGACAAACAATGCCTAACTAAAAATTAATAACGTCTGTATTAAAAACTTTGTTTCTGATTTACTTATAATAGCGATATTAAATGAATTTCTTACCAACATAGAGATACACACTGGCCCAGAAATTATCCAAGAATAGTTACTTTCTTCAATCCAACAACTGAAAGAAAGTTTTCAAAAATTAGCATTTAATTTATTTTCATGGGATACAGAATGAAGAAAAATACGCAAAGTGATCCTGAAAAACTTTCTTGTTATAAATTGTTGCTTAAAACTATAACTGCATGGAAAGAAACGTTAAACGACTGTATTTATTTAAAAGAAAATCTATTCTCTTTTTGTTTCTTAAATCTTTTCTTTTTGCTTCTTTTCTGAAAGGATCTCTTTTCTAATTTAAGACATCTGCGCTTATTTCTTATCCAGACAACAACATACTTATTTGCACCTCTGCAACTAGATTTTTTATTTAAAAAAATCATTTTATTCTATACAGTGCAATTATTTTAATTTGCATTCTAAATAATACACAGTATATGAAGATTTTTTGTAATTATTATATTTTTATAATTTAAAAATATTATTATGTAGTCGATAGATTATTGTTAAACTGAGACTATACCTATCTGAAAGAAGACTCTTCATCTTCAATAGCTGATTGGGCATTCTTTATATTCGAAATCCAGTCTTCACGCTGCCCAAGGCATAAAATCATGCCTTCACATTACTCGAATCGCAAGATTCATTCTACCTAAGTCCCAAGATCTTATCTACCAGAAACATAAAGTCATACATATCCAAACACGAGATCTCGAATTAACAATACCGGAAATACTACATTTTGTCGTCATATACCCGAGATACAAGCTCTAACCTGCACGAGCCTCAAGATCTGGCTTGTACGTCAATCGATGCAACAGATCTTGTTTTTAAGTTACCCAAGTTATGAGATCTAACCAATCAGAGACAAAAGATCTTATCCTCACGTTGCCCGAGGCGCGAGATTTTGTCTTCATGTTATCTGAGACAAGATATTCATTCTACCCCAGACATAAGATCTTATCTACTCGACAAATGAAACCTTACCTAACCATACACAAGATCTTAAATTAACGTTACCCGAAACACTACATCTTGTCTTCACGTTACCCGAGATATAAGGTATAATTTATACGAGACACGAAACTCGAGATCTTGTCTATACGTCAACCGGGAGACAAGATCTTGGTTTTAGGTTACCCTAGCGATGATTTAACCAGTCCGAAGCAAAAGATTTTACAATCACGTTACCGGAGGCACGAGATCTTGTCTTCACATTACCCGAGACATGAGACTTATTCTATCTGAGATACGAGATCTTATGTATTTAAAAAATGAAATCTAACCTAATCAAACACGAGGTCTCGAATTAACATTATTCCATACACGACATCCTGTTTTCAAGTTACTCGAGAGATACGAAGTCTCACCTGTACGAGATTCGAGATCTTGATTGTACGTCAACCGAGGCACGAGATCTTGTTTTTTTGCTACCCAAGTTTTGAGATCTAACCTATCAGAGACAGAAAATCTTACCCTCATGTTGCCCGAGGCACGAAATTTTGTCTCCGTGTTATCTGAAACGTGATATTCATTCTACCCCAGACACTAGACTACTCGAAACATGAAACCTAACATAACCAGACACGAGATCTTAAATTAACGTCACCCGAAACACTACATCTTGTCTTCACGTTACCCGAGATACAAGGTCTAATTTATACGAGACACGGAACTCGAGATCTTGTCTATACGTCAACCGAGAGACAAGATCTTGGTTTTAGGTTACCCTAGCTATGAGGTTTAAACAGTCCGAAACAAATGATCTTACAATCACGTTACCCGAGGCACGAGATCTTGTCTTCACATTATCCGAGACGTGAGATTTATTCTACCTGAGATACGAGATCTTATGTACTCAAAACATGAACTTTAACCTATTCAAACTCGAACTCTTAATATCGTAATCCGAAACACGACATCTTATCTTCATGTCACTCGAGACACGAGGTATAACGCGCACGAGACTTCGAGAGCTTGTTTTTTGGTTACCCAACTTATAAGATCTAACATATCCGAGTTACAAGATCTTACTTCCTTATTACCCAAAACAAGAAATATTATCTTCCAGTTACTTCAGATCCTGTTTAAAAAAAATGATCCCAGGAAATTTTATGCTGTTCCATGCTCGAGACACATGAAAATAAATTGATATTTTAGCAAAAAAATTTTGTAACGATGTATTAATGCTTAAAATACCTCAGTATAATACATCTGAAAATGCAAAAATATTTATTATCATATAAAAGGAAAACTTTAGGCATGTATCAAATCATAAAAATTGATTGCGCAGGACGTAACAAGGAATAGCCTTTCCGTTGAAGATATTATTGGGATCGTGTGTGAGTGAAAATTCTTGATGAGTTTTGCTGTACATTTGTTTATTAATCGATTTCCTAAGTTGATGTCATATTTCAAGCTCCAAATAAAATTAATAAGAACTCCAGAATTGCGATAATCCATTCGGTAGATCAAATTGGTATTAGGTTGACGTCATAAATAATACATTCAAATTTATTAGCTGTAATTGAATGTTGAGTATTGTGACACCGAAGCGGGATTCTATATCATTCAATATTCACGAAAAAAAAAATACTGTCATGCACAGAATCTTCAGTGAGTTGTTTCATTTAGTGCTTATAATAATAATCGCACTTGAACTTTTTTTTTTAAACATGTGCATTTGAATGAAGACGTTGTAACTAGATTAGAGTTCTGAATTAAATTGTTATTTTAAGAATAAAAATATAATATTACTGAAAAATTGTATGGAATGGCAAATAAAATGTAAAGTTCGAACTTACTACATTGTGTCCTCTGGAAAACTATTTCTAACACTTGCATATACAATTAGAATGACTAGAGGAATGCCTAAAATGAGAAAAAAAAATAAATTGGTAAATTTCATGAATAATATTTTTGAATATAATTATGTATGTTACCAACAATCACTGAATCAAGCCAAAAATCAATCGATCGCTAAGTGTGAAATCATTCATCTCTCATATCTTGCCTAAGCATTTTATAGAATGATTAATGAAAAAATTACACGCATTTCTTAAAATATAAATACAATAATCTAATAATATATACTAATATATGTCTCCTCAATTTCATAATACAGTAATTATATAATTAATTCTCTTATTTCATGCTTTGCCTAAAGAGCTTTTGTTATTCTGTATAATTTCTAGGTATTCTATACAATGAATAGGCAAACAATACAATAATCCTTATATTTCTACTAATGCGAAGAAGCTTTTTTGAATGGAAAATATTAGTTCCAAATATAATGGTTAAATAAATTTTATTTTATTACATATTTAGTTGTTAAATCTTTAATCATATTTCATCCAATTTTCGATTTTTTTTTCTCCAATGTGAAAACCGTAATATCAGTTGTATTAATAGAGACATTATAAACTTACCCCAACCACATAAATAAAACCACTTCAAGAGTTTATCTTCGGCTACGAATGCCACAATAAGCAAAGTGTGTAGATAAAGACCTTCACAAAACATCCATAAGTAGTTTGACACTAAGAAATAATGCACCAAAACATGAAGAATTTGGCAGGGTAGCTGAAAATAAAGAAAAACAAACATAAATATGAAATAAAATACTAAAAAACGATAAAATGCAATGAGACAAGGCATTAAAAAACATAGTTTCTTTTAATGGGTGTCATTCAGCGAAACATCCAGTGACGAAATAAAACTACCAAACATGCAGACACGGTTAAAATGGCGAATCGTTACGCGTACTCCAGATTAATGAAGTTGTGGGGAAAGTATACTTTCGACCATATCAACCTTCATCTATTAAAAGATGGAATCAAGTTAATATGTGTTATATACTAGGGTATTGGTATTTAATAATTGTAGTGGTAGTTACGCCACATTACTCCTCCACCAGAATTTTATCTGTGATAAAATTCAATGAACGAATACCACTAGTTGATTATCTATTTATTTTTTTCGCTCATTAATATTTTTATTTCTATTTTCCTTTTTTTGTTTTCGTTATTTAATTCTCTTTTTATGTTATTGGCCGGGAGAATTGTATTTACTTCACCGAAATTTTTACCGCTATTTTGCGAGCTAATCAACTATTCAATGAGGACCATTCTTCAAAGATGGTGAGCTCATATCACGTTCCGAGGTCAATAATGTGGGGAGAGTATACTTTTGAACATGACAACCTTCATCCATTATAAGGTACTTCCTTTTTGGTTAAAGGTTAAGTTTCATAACCGTTCATTAGGACTGATCCAATGAGAAGTTTCTATTAAGTAAACAGTATGTAATACTATTTAACACTAAATGGCCCGTGGAAGTCATTTTGACTGCTTTTTAATTTCAATTAGAAAAACAATGATGTATATGATGACACAATTTCTTAGAATTTTTTGACTTTTGGTACAACATGTATTTTTTATTGTTAATATTTACCAATAACTTGTTATATAATTGCAAATAATATAAAAAATATTACAAATTAATTTTGAACAGATTTCTTTACACATTAGTTATTTTTTGACAATCCAGTCATTTTGACTGCTTTTGTTCAATATAGGTATATGCTAAGTTTCAGTCCTTCTTGTGCTAAATACAGAGCGAATAATTTTGTCTCAGTTAACTTAGCTGTATAATTCACAAAACAATTATCAATTACACTTTAAGAATATATAGGAGAAATTGAAATGATACTAAACAAAGCAAATATTAACATTAAACGTAAACACATTAGCCAAATGGCTTGTCACTTTACTTAATACGTAGTGCGTCGTCGACTCATAGGTCCAATAAATTTAAATTCTCTTCAAATTGTTCTGCGAGATATCTTTATTTTTGAGTTTTAAATGGAACTCCTTCGTTTTGTTTAGAGTTGTCAATCACCCGATTTCCATATTTTTCTTCACAATCCACTTCGAGTTTCTGTCATCATGTTTTGTCATTTTCTTGGGTCTATACTTCCTTGACGTTGAAACTTTTATGCTACATTCAGTTAAATATGTTTTGCATATCCTTATTACCCTCTTATGTGCTATTTTAAGTTATTTTATTATGTTAAATAATTTTACGCCATTTTGGCGTATAGACACAAATCCCATGCTTGAAATAACCATTATAGTTTTCGTTGATGAAATTATAAAACAAAAACAACCAGTTTTGCAAACCAAAAACAATCTTAAATTTGACTAACACAATCGTTTTCTTTCACATTAACTGTTTGAAAAATATTAGTGAATGTTTTCTGTAATAACAACTTAAGAAAAATAAAGAATAAAAAATGGCAGGTGACAAGTAATTTTACAACAGTGTTTACAAACTAATCACTGGGTGTCGGTGCATTTAGTGATGATTTAGGGACATTGCTCCAAATTCGTTCTTAGCATTTATTTAAAAATGGCTGAAAGATTATCTGATAGGCCATTAGGAGAGAAAGAGGATTACGCTTTCTGTAAGAGATCACTGTCAAAGCTTAAGGTAAATCTGTAGTGAAACCACTTTCGATGCAAAGTACTAAACCAAAACGAATCCTTTGAAAATCCATTCGATGAAATGCTTCTATTGTGAAATATTCTTTTATTCTCTCGACATCAACGCTTTAAAGGTGTAACTTTCGGGATAATGACTATCTATTTTCACGCAGCGAACATTTTATAGCTCATAAACCCTTTGAAATCTTTAGAGGAAAAGAGCGAGTGATTTATGGTTGCGTTCAACTCATATAAAAGAGACGTTTAGCTGTTATTATTCATTAAATTTATGGAACTAATTTTTCGAACAAAAGAATACTTTTAATAATAATATAAAAATAAATGGAGATTTGCTTAGAGATGGCACATTATTATCTGATAAAAAAGGGATGTTCTGTTTTACTTTTTAATGTTGTGGTTTTGAGAAAATTTAATTTTCTTTTTCATGAAAAGGAGTGATAATTTTATGGAATAAATATTTTGACTGTTATTTTAATGGAATTATGAAATATCTATTAAAAGGAATTTTTATGTTATACATGCATAAATAAATCAGTTTTATTATCTAAGAAAGAATGGAAAAGTGACAATTGTGTTAATTTACTATTTCTACATTTAAAAAGCACTTATGAAAGAAATGGTAAATTGTTTTCAAAATAATTTATCTTTTTTTAAAGCCATAATGGAAATTTGACAATTTCTATTTGACTTTAAAATTGCACTTCAGCAATGACCGTTTGTCAGCAAAAGCATGGAGGTTAAAGGATCAATGGCAATATAGGATCAATGGCAATATAGTCAACACGGCAATGTAGTCAAGACGAAAATATAGTCAACATTGCGCAACGGACAAATACACTGGCTAGTACCCATCGATCTGAAACTGCCACTAGGGATAATACAGTACAGAACCCGTTATCCAGAAATCAGAAAACCGGAAAACCAAAAAACCGGAACGAAATTCGATAAATTTTCTCGCCATTTTTTTAAAAGAAAATTTTTTTTCCTCATAAGATTTTACGATTTTTCTTTCTTTTTTTAACGATGCTTACCTTACCATCATTTGGAAATAATCATTAGTGTATTACTTCAGCATTTTTTCTTATTTTTAAGATTATTTCCAATTTTTGTTTTTTTAAGTTGGGTTTAACAATAAAAAAACGGCTTTTTGTAGCGATTCAGAAAACCGGAAAAATCAGTTATCCGGAATAGCGATGGTCCCGACCGTTCCGGATAATCGGTTCCCTACTGTAATACATTTATAATGCCGTTTCAGTTACCTTAATCACTCTGCCATCACATCTGTTTCTACTTTTACCTGTCGAATATTTTTTAAATGTAGCTTATAATGTAAGATACATTCAAAGAATTCGGTGAATTGCATCATAAAGTACCTTTTTTTTACTGGTATTCAAAGTATTTACTAAAACATAACTTTGAAAACTTGTTGTAGCGTCATTGGAAACGTCAGCAAACGATTCTTCATCGATCAATAATTAAAGCGTTATACTCGAAAACTTACTATTAATAAATAACTTCTATGCCATGCACTTCCATCGATGCTTTATGTGTCTTTGTCATCGTTTCTTCTGATTAGTAAAAGCAAAAGTTGAAATTAAATCTTGTTTAATTCTGAAGTAACATGACTTTTTCTCCTGACTGTTTTAAATTGGTCGCATCCACTGATATCTTTTAAAGTTACAGGATTGAGGATAGAGAACAATCGGGATGGCAAAAATAAAGCCAACCAAACTAGCTTCCACTTCTCCTGCGCGAGCACAATATCTTAGTCAGTTATTTAACTATGAGACCATTTGAAAAGTTTTTCGATTATTCTTTAAAATGTAAGCTTTAACTAATGTGAATTATACTACACAGAAAACTTATAACTAGAAGTAAGGTTGTTTCCCCTAAATATTCAAGTAGGTTTTCAAACTGTTTTAGAATTGGATGCCTGCAAGTGACGTCATCGTAAGTAAATTGTGCGATTTATCAAGTCAGAAGTCAATCGGGATCAACACAGATATGTGACGTCTCTTATAGGTACCCAATTAAATTTGATTTAAACCAAGCGGTTAGACATGATCACTTCACATCTTCTCGAATTGCAAGTACTTGTAATAGGATATTTTGAAAAATAATCGTTATTCTAAACTTTACACTTTGTTCTCGGTCTATTTGAACTCTCTTTATTTCTGTACTTTACATTTTATATTAATTTAGCTGAAAGAGTGTAATGTAGCTGAATGAATTTTCTTCGGCGGCGTGGCAGTTTCTTAAAAATGAAGTCAAGCCATCACGTTTTATATATGTATATTCAGTAGAGTAGTAGCTTCGACCAACTTAACGCAGTCAATGTGCAAAGTCATGACACTCTAAAATGTGTGTGAACATCAGATTTTGTTTCGAACTTTTTACTAATTTTATTGCTCTTGCTAATAGAAGTTTGGCTTTTAAAAGTCCATCGTAAATAACATCGTTTCAAAAGCTTACATTGGCTGTTTTTGCATTTAATCACAAATTTAACATTGGATTTATTTCCACCTTAAGTTTTTCGGACTTCTTTTTTGCTTGCAAAATATTTACTGCCAAAATATAAAAACAAAACGCCAAAAGTTTATCTACTAAATTTGACAATCAAACCTAATTAGTAGATAATATCTTCGAGTCTAACGCACATAATTATTTGAACACCGGTAACACATTTAATTTAGACGACCTCTTATAAAAAGAAACATTAAGTTCCAATTTGCCATCACTTCTTTTAAACAAATTCTCGTTACTTCTACAAAGAGGCTTCTATGAAAGAAACATCGGAAAACTATCAACTACTCCTCTTCCTGAACTTTATAAGAAACTTATTTCTTTTTTCTCCGGTTATTTACTTTCTATTGTAACTCAAGTTCTAATACCATTATGATAAGTCTTCTTGATAGCTAAGTGTTGTAGTAACCCTTAGGTTTTTCATACAAGTGTGGTTTGAAGAAGAATTTATTATGAGCACAGAAAAGATTTTTTCTCTCCTTATTTTCTTTGCCTTCGGTGGCGGCTTTTTCGCACATGCAACTCACGTCTCCGATGTAAGAGGATTTGCTATGT